GCCACTCTGATTTTCGCCTATGACCACCTGCGACAGCTCTTCTCCAATTGTTGCCATTGCTATTGCGATTTTCACCTACTACTGCCTTTAATGGCTCTTCTCTGATCATTGCCACTGCTGTTGCAATTTTCACCGACAACCGCTTTGATAGCTCTTCTCCGATCATTTCACCTCTGATAGCTCATATCCGACCGACTGTGGGTCCTGCTAAGATCTTGGTCGATGACCACCTACACCTCCGCCTATGACAGCTTCTCTTGATGCTTCTCTGACCCACTGTCGTTGTTGCTGTCCTTGTGATCTTCATTGACTACCTGCTTTTCTTTTCTGTGGTGATTTTTTTAGAATTATACTCCTTCAATCCAATTAGTAATTTTTTCAATTAAATTCCAGAGCACCTCAATTAGCTTGGGCAAGCACCTAGCACCTTTAACAACACTGAGTTTATAAGGATCCATTTAACTTTGAGAGTATTTCTTTGGATTGTGAACCATCGAAAAACAGTACGACCAGAATTGATACTAACAACTATAATTCCTCTCCTGGGGTAGAGGGCCTAATATGTGTATCATACATAAAAAAGGAAAGCTCTGAAATAAAACTGAAACACAGTTTTATAATTTATTATTGCTTGAGTTCTTTTCCTTGGAAAATCCCTACTATAGATAGAGGGGAGACATCAAGAAAAGAAAGGACCCAAATGTACAGCCAATGTGCCTATAGATAAAAGAATTACATCAAACAGGTAAATAAGAGAGACTGACAAATAGGGAATAACAAACAACAAGCCTACGGTTCAAAGTTTTCCCAAAGCAATGCCTATAGCTATTAGAATGCAAAAAAGCTGGAACAGGAGTATTAGACATCAAAAGCTGGAACTGTCTCCTTTTAATGCTAAAATTTGTCTGTCTTTACAAGTCCTTTCTGCTAATACAACTATGTGAAGTGGCCACACAAGCCCAATATTTTAGATCCTCAACATACTAAATCTCAAGCTTCAAGAGAGTTTTTTTCGCACAATAATTAATTTCATGGGATCAACTATGAAGATCATGGATGCACAAATTGTGAACAAGATATAAGAAAAAAGGAAAGTCAGTCTAGAGAAGTGCATAATAAGAATTATATGTCCAATAACACGAATTACAAATGACATAATGAGACATAGTATAAACAAGCTTGAATTCTTCTTCTAAATGCATGTTGCCACAGGTAGATGGAAGAACATACTATGACCATGAAACTGCAAAATTTCTCACCAATACAGAATCACAACATATATCAAGTATCATTACGCCAAATTTATTCTACTAGATCCTGAGTTAATGATCATTATACAAGACAGCAACTAAAACTTAATTTAATTTCCTCATCAACTCTTGCTGTTTATAAACGCAAAGCGACATGCCCATCAAAATCGCCAAGAAAATCCGATCCAAATCGCATGACCGAAGTCACCAACAAAACAAAGAGCGAGTGCGAACAGCCACAACGCCGAAGGCCAATTGGGAAGCCAGACATCGAAAAAAAAAAATCGAAAACCCTAAAACCTCGTAGCTAATCTCTACGCAATCAACATTGGAAGGGTCATAAGGACTAAGAATTGATCCAAGAACGACGAAGAAAACCAAAGCGAAGTCCTCGTTACAAGATTCGAAGCCCCAATTTATTATTCCGTCAAAATCAAATCAGCGCACAAACCCTAGAACCGAGGAAAGAAACGGAGAAGGAAACCAAGAACGAACCAAGCGGATGCAATAGAGGAGCGAGGAGAAGAATCAAAGACATGCCTCGAATCGCGGCCGGAGACTCTAATAGAGGAGCGGGGGTTGGAACGGGACGATGCGAGGAGGAAGAACTCCAACGAAAGAGCGACCGACAACACGAAACGGACACACCAACGCGCGTGATGTGAACAGCCCATTACACGATATTGGAATTACTCATTTACCCTTACAAAGTACAACCCGCAACACATCATCACTTCATCCACCTTAAATCTCATGTTGACCACAGGGCTAACTATAGTCAAATTAGTTTGAATTAGAAAGATATTTAAAATGTTTTTTTCCCTTCACAATAATCATTTAAGGAATATATATATGTATATTTATTTATTTATTTACGTTCCTTTTTCCTGTTGGTTTCTCAATGATGGACCACTAGATGTTTGATAAGAGATGATCCAACAGTGCAAGAGAAGTGCTTCTCGAGGGAGACATTGGTGTTGGCTCTAAGGCTCTCCCTCCATGAGTTAGGGGGTGTCTTCCACGCTGAATCAACCCCATCATCTGTGCTCAGCCACACAACAAATACAGCAACAACTATTTGGTAAGAAGGCATGAGGAATATGAGCAAAGGCTTCCTTGGAAGGAAGAGCTACCTGTTGTTGCTTTCATCCGTGCAGCTTCCATGAGCTGGAAGAATCTACCGATCAACTCTTTTCCTCCACCTAATGAGAGCAACAGGCACAGACTCTGTCATGGTGGTAACCAAGCCGATGCGTATAGCATTGTCCCCTCCAAGTGGTGGTGTCATGGCTGACATCAAGATGAGCTTCCCGACATCAACTTCTTCCTTGGTAATAGAATATCGACGAGAAGATGTAATGCATAGATATATCGATTTGACTCCGCGCTCTTATCACTCGCTTGTTCGTCTTGTTATCCGACTATTATTCTACGTTAGCACGCGGAGAGAGAGACATCTAGAGAGAGAGAGAGAGAGAGAGAGAGAGAGAGAGAGAGAGAGAGAGAGAGAGAGAGAGAGAGAGAGAGAG